TCCGTTGCCGGACACGGAAAAAAACAAAAAAAAAAAAAAGAAAAAAAACAAACTTCTGTGCTTCAAAGGGCACCATCAACTAAAGGTAAAAAAAACCAAAAAACCACAGAATGAGAGAAAATATTTGCAAATCATCTATGTGATAAGGCAAACTTCTGTGCTTCAAAGGGCACCATCAACTAAAGTTAAAAAAAACCAAAAAACCACAGAATGAGAGAAAATATTTGCAAATCATCTATGTGATAAGGGACTTGTATTCAGAATATATGGAGAACTTTTAAAATCAACAATAAAAAGACACATAGCCCAATTATAAGATAAGGATTTGAACAGACATTTCTCCTACAACTAGTAATACATGAAAAGTTGCTCAACGTTACTGGCCATCAGGGAAAAGCCAATCACAACCATAATGAGACACCACTCTACATCTACTAGGATAGCTAGAACCAAAAAGAGATAATAAATGTTGGCAAGGATGTGGAGAAATTGGGACCCTCATATGTTGTTGGTGTGAATGTAAAATGGTGTAGCTGCTTTGGAAAACAGTTTGGCAGTTCCTCAAAGAGTTTAACAGTTACCATATGATCCAACAATTCCGCTCCCAGGTATTTACTCAGAAGAATTAAAAACGTGTTCAAAAATCTTGAACATGAATGTTCATAGCAGTTCTGTTCACAACAGTCCAAAACTGGAAACAACCCAAATTCCCAATAACTTGGAATAGAAAAATAAAATGTAGTATATCTATACAATGGAATATTATTTGACAATGAAAATAAATGAAGCACTGAAACATGCTACAGCATGGATAAACCTTGAAAACATTATGCTGAGTGAAAGAAGCTGATCACAAAGGACTACATATTGTATGATTTCATTCCATTCCAGATTAGTGGTTGCCCAGAGGTTAAAGGAAGGGGAATTGCTGGGTGAGAAGGGGAGTGACTTCTAATGGGTCTGGGGTTTCTTTTGGGGGTGATGAAAATGTTCTAAAATTGGTTGTGATAATGGTTGCACAGTTCTGAGTATGCTAAAAACCATTGAATTGTACACTCTAAGTTGGTAAATTCTGTGGTATGTGTATTATATGTCAACAAAGCTGTTTTTAAAAAAATCATGGGTTCTAGAGAATGATAACCTAGGATTGACTCCTGGCTCCATTACTGTACTTACTGTAAGCTATGCAACCTTGGGAAAGTTGCATAACCTCCCTGAATCTGTTTCTTTGTTTGTAAAATGGGGATGATAGTAGCAGTACCCACCTAATGTTATCTGTCTAGTTCTGGGTAAAAACAGTACTAACTATGAAGATGATGAAATTGAAGAAGAATGGATCAGTCTTAGAGAAGGAGAAATGAGAGGAAATCACTTAAGGAGCAAGTAATAAGGGTAAGATTGAACTTGGTTTGTGGACCCTGAAAAAGATAGCTAGTTTAAAATTTTTACAAGTTGGAGGTAGCAATCTCTTGGTGGTTTTGACCGCTGATGATACCCAGGATGACAGTGCTGTCATGTGGGGATAACATACCACTAAGCTGGATCATCTTTGTTTTGATGCCTGATTGGGCCAGAGCAAAATCTTGGGGAGGAAATAGAGAATCAGAAGAAAGTATTTTTTGGAAATCTTGCTGTGTCTATGGCCTGAAGATCCTATTCTTCTCCAGGAGTTAGTTGGACAAAAAAAGTTTAAGTCTTGGTGTGAGTTGTCTACTCCCATGTCTTTGAGCTGTGTTGTGTGAGAAAGGCTCTCTCTGCATTTACACCATGGGTGAGAGCAGAAGTGGAATAAAATGTAAGTCTTGGTGTGAGTTGTCTACTCCCATGTCTTTGAGCTGAGTTGTGTGAGAAAGGCTCTCTCTGCATTTACACCATGGGTGAGAGCAGAAGTGGAATAAAATGTGGCCCTCAGTGTTCACAACCTGTTACTTAATCTCTTGCTTCCAGGGAAGGTTCAGACTATGGTTTACCGTATGTCAGGATCCCCTGAGGACTGATCTTGAGTGTGATGATCTGAGTTGGTAACATTGAGTTGCCAGAGGTCTCTAGTCAGGTGACAGAACTAAATGTATAATTCATGTTTGAGTCCTTCCTCAGATTCCTTATTTTGGCCCTTGGTACTAAAATTGTTAGGCTTTTATAGTGAACCTAATATTAGAAATTGCATCATCATGTTTTCCTTTCTGATAATTACAAGGTTTGCTTCCATTACTTCTAGCTAAGGATCATCACCCTAGTCAAACCTTGCCAGAGGACCCAGCAGAATCCACCAGCACGGCCATTGCAGATCCCAGAGCCCGGCTGCAGGCCTATATAGACAGTCATTCTGTGGTCGTCTTCAGTAAGTCCACGTGCAAACAATGTACTGAGGTAAGGTTTTAAACTCAAGTAGTGTTGAAAAATTGTTGAATTGCAGGAATTTGACAGACTTTTGAGCTCATGTGTAAACAATTGGATTTCACCTTAGGAAGGGTGTGTATAGGTGTAACTTGCTTCAGAATAATTGTAGAATGTTGATTTGAGAACAAAACATTGCTTGAGTAATCTTTCTCTGAACTTTTGAAAAGTACGGGATGTTTTCAGGTAGTCAAGGTCAGGGAAGGTCAGGATGGGGGAATTACTGAACCAGTTGATTTGCTGCTCTTTTAGGCATGTCTGTAGTGAATATTTCATAAGGAACTGTTACTTGAGGTAATCCTAAATTTTGATAAATATCTCTTTACGCTCTGCTTTATTATGGGGAAAATAATTTTGCAAAGAATAAACCGTATTTCTTACTTGGTTCTTAATGTTAAATTATCTGAGGAAAGGTCGATGATCACAGCTATGGGAGGATTGGTTTAATCCTCCCTGACTTAACCACAGAATGAAGGTGAGAACTGAAAGACAAACCAGATCTGGTGTTTTATAGAAAGGTTGAAAGCATTTAACTCACTAAAGTTTTGCTTTGAATTATACTCAGTGTAGCTCTAGGCCTAGATGTGATAGACACTTAAATAAACGTAAGATGATCACAGCTATGGGAGGATTGGTTTAATCCTCCCTGAATTAACCACAGAATGAAGGTGAGAACTGAAAGACAAACCAGATCTGGTGTTTTATAGAAAGGTTGAAAGCATTTAACTCACTAAAGTTTAGCTTTGAATTATACTCAGTGTAGCTCTAGGCCTAGATGTGATAGACACTTAAATAAACGTAACTGGCCATCTGTCCAGATTCACTTATAGGGTAATTTATTAAGTTTAATTTTCTTCTAGCCTCTCTCTCCATTCAGTTATTTTCCAGATCTCAATGAGGTTGAATTCAGAGGCCTTTTTATTCTGGAAGCCTTACAGAGACAGGCTGTTTTGACTCTTTCTCTGTGGTTATGTGTGTGTATTCTCTTTTTCCAAATGAGGAAAAAGGGAAGATGGGCAAGCAGTGAAAACTCTTCAAGTAGGAGTCTTTGTCTCCCACCTGAACATAGTCTGCATCATTGTCATCTTAGGTTTCATCACTATCAATATGATAGTGATGCTTTTGGGTAGGACATCATATTAGGAGTAGGGCTGCAAACAGGTAGAAGACACAAGTCCCATCCCTAGGGGGTTTAGTCACACTGAGAAGGCAGAATATAGACTTAAAAAGAAAAATGAACTAAGATAATCCATGCTAAATTGTAAATGATTGGTATAGGCGGTAATGTTACAGAATTTAAAAGAGGGCTGGGTATTAGAAATCTGCTATATAGTTCATGGCCTCTGTGGGCTTAAATATGTAGCTGTGGTGATCTTGTCTGTTTTGGGGCTCCCCACTTTTGGTTTAATCCAGTTGATTTTTGAAGTTTCTTTTAGCTCTAAAATTATGTGGTTGTTTAATCTTTTTTGTTACCAAATAATTGTTAAGAGCCTGGACTCTAAAGTGTGAGTTTGGATCTTGGCTCTGTAACTTATTGGCTATGTGACCTTGGTTAAGTTATTTGCCTGTTGTGCCTCAGTTTCCTCATCTGTAAAATGTAAATAATAATAGTACCAATGTCATAAATTTGTGAGGATTCAATTAGTTAATATTTACAAAAGCCATAGAACATGCCTGGTGCATAGTAAATGCTATATGAGTGGTTGTTAAATAAAATAACTACTTGCTCTTCCTGTTTTCCATCAGGACCTAAAAGCTTGGACAGTAGAATTTCTTCTGTCAATATGGAGGCTTAGTTAAATGGCAATCAACAAATATCTTACTTAATTCCAAGTACAATTAATCCTATCAGTGGTTAATAGCTAGCATTTGAATGCCTAATATGTGCCAAGCATTATTTGGTCCCTGTACTTATTTTTTAAAACATTATAAAATAGTTGGAAAATTCCAATTTTGACCCTGCCTTATCTCTGCAATGAAGAGTTGGGCTGGTGGTCAGGATTGCTACTAGTGATAAGTAGATGGATTCTCAGTGTGTTCCTTGAAATCCCAGATCTCTTTGACCTGTGGTTACTTATCCTTACTAACACTTATCCCTGAACCCTTCTTACTTCCTCGTTTCCCAGCTCTCCTGCCTATCCCTAAGGAAAAGGTAAAGCCTTACTCTCCTTTTTCCTTCCCCTGCTCCCTGTTTTACTTAATGAAATCTACTCTGGGAATGAAGAAACTTTCTTATAAAAATGTTAGTTATTTGTGTACTCGTTTAAATATACGTATAGTTATCCTGGCAACTTTAATGTCATTATCTGAATAATTTCTGGATATGCTGGGTCTTCTAAATAAACATCCTCTCTCTTTTTTTTTTTTTTTTTACATATTTTTTCTATATTTTTATAGCAGTTTTAGTCTTAACAGAGAAATTGAGCAGAAAATAAAGATAGTTGCCATGTCCTCCCTCCACCCACATACGCGGTTTCTCCTATTATTGACATGTTGTATTAGTGTAGTACATTTGTTACACTTATGAATCAATATTGATATATTACTGTTAATTTTATGTTAGGGTTCCCTCTTTGTACTGTACAGTTGTATGGGTTTTGCCTAATGCATAATGTCATGTACTAACCAATACAATATCATTCCCCACTCTTCATCCCTCCCTCCCTCCCTCATTCCCTGAAATCCTGGTAACCATTGATTTTTTGTTGCTGTTACCCCAAATATTTCCCATTTCTTTTTGTTGGAAACATTCAAAATGCTCTGTTATAGCTACTTGAAATTATACAGTAGATTGTTGTTAATTATAGCCAGGCTACAGTGCTATAGAACACTAGATATTATTCCTTATTTAGCTGTACTTTTGTATCAGTTAACCAACCTTTCACTATTCTCCTCACCCCCACCCTATCCAGCCTCTAGTAACCGCCAGTCTACTCTCTACTTCTATGTGATCAACTTGCTTAGCTTTCTTAGTTTTATCTTGGCAAATAACAATTCCTTAGCTTTTCCAAATATACAAGTTGTTTTCAGATTGGTGCCAATTAATATGAAAATTAATTTCTAATGTCTTTGGCCATGAAAGATAGTTAAGTTCCTCTCCTTTGAAAAGTAGTGATTTTTTTCCTATAGGGTCCAATTTATATACTTAGTTGTTCACAACTCATTTTTCAGAAATTACCTTGAAGTAGAATTTCCCCAGGCTATTTCATTCTGTTTTGATTTCATCATCTCATTTAATTATTGTGATGTAAGTAAATCAGAATGGAGAAACTTTGTTTTTATATTTGTTCTAGACTTGATCTGATTAATGCATATTTCTCTCTGGGATGAGTAATGTAATTTTGCATTAATGCAAGTTGGGAAGTGCCCACAAGGAAATTAACTTCTACATAAATTTAGTTTTCCACTTGTTGCATAACACATTGTCATATGTGTTTTGAATGCGTCCTACTGGGAATAGTGGTTTTTAAAGTGCAAAGATTAAACCCTCTCTATCTTTTCAGAAAATGTAATATTTGTTTCTTATAGATATTTTAGTGGAAGTTGGAAGTATGCCTGGAATTGGCAAATGATGTCTAATTATAGTCTATCTCTTGCTTGATATCTACATCCATTGCCATTCTCAATAGCATGTTTATTTACAGGCAAAGTTCACCATCTTCTACTTTTATCAATGGGAATACTCTGGAAACTGGCACTTTTGATATTCAATTCTGATTTTTAATCTTGTACTGTCAGCAATGCTAAAGTTTAATCAGAGTTAAAATAACCTATAAAATCGCAATTTCTTGAAGTGGGATCATGTGTACTCTGGAATCTAGAGAGTGTATTTTCTGTATTTCATGTCTTATGAAATTTTGATTATTATTTTTTGGATCTGTTTTTAGGATTTACTCTCTAAACCTGGACAACTTGGTTTTTTGTAAGAAACTGCAAATGTTTTATTTCTAAAACTAAATGACTAAGGAAGTCTTAAGAGTCTGTGGTTTTATGTGTGTATGAACTTTTTATTTTTAGTTTTAGAAAATGAGCATTGGAATATGAATTGACTTTTTTCCAGGTGGCTTCCCAGTTATAGCTTTCCTTGCCTTTCCTTTAATGTCCCTCTTTACGGCTTCATCATTCTTCAGAAAGATTCTTGTCTTTCTAAATGTGTATTGTCAGGGGAGGCCAAACTCAATCTGGGGCTTAGGTGCCATCCAAAAGGGGCACCTACCTCAGAGATACAGCAAAGGTGGTGTGAATGAATCCATTCTTTCATTTATATCGAAATATTATGTTTGGTTCTATAGAAATGATAGAAATCTTTCGATGTACTTCAGTAAAATGGGAAGTCTGCTATTTTAGTAGTTAAATTTAGAATGGGGCAAGAATACATTTTCTTGATTGATGATCTCTGTGAACCTCAGGCTACTCTGGCCTTTTTTATTTTATGTATAAGCTGGAGGAATATGGTTCTAAACTTTTCTAAAGTATTGTTCTTGTACTTTAACGTCTCTTTTATCAGTAGTGTTAAGCTAAATAACAAAGACAGGCTCTCTAAAAGAAGAATGAGTTTAATTGGGTATAGAACATTGCAATGGGAATATGCATGCCATAATAAACTATGTGTGTATTCAGCGAGGTAAAGGAAGACAAAGGGTTTTAAAGGAAAAGTGTTGAAGGATTACATAATTGTTTGGCCATAATCATCTTTGGCTACAAGGATTAATAACAAGGGCAATGCCAGTCTGAAATTGTACAGACAGTTGCTGGGCAGATGTCCTCACAGAAGTATGTTTTGTTAAGGTTGCAATGGCATCTGTGCAAGGCTGTGGCTTTGCAAGGTTGTGGCTTTGCAGAGTCCTTTGTGATAATTCTTATTATGAGGCATATGTACGTGAGAACCCCCCTTCATGGCCTTTCCTGGCTCTATTTGTCAGGGTTTTTTTTGTTTTTGTTTTAACTCAAGTGACTCCATTTTGATTCTAACAACTTTCACAGTAGTTTGAATGTTATTTAGTGGTATAAATTTGGCAAAAGTAACTTTTATCCTACAAGTAAAAATTTTTTTTTACCAGTATAATTTATATAATCTTGATCATATGGTTTTTTGTAACTGATTTGTTGGTTGAAGTACTTGACCAAAAATGAATAATATCTTTACTATTGTAAGGATATTTTTGTTTTGTTTGTTTTGTTTTTCTCACAGTTGCCACATAATGTTTTAGAAACATTAAGGATTCCAGTACTTTTTAATTAATTTAATTTAATTTTTTTTTGGCAGCTTGCCAGTAAGGGGATCCAAACCCTTGACCTTGGTGTTTTAACATTGCACTCTAACCAACTGACCTAACCAGCCAGCCCCTCCAGTGCTTTTTTAAATATAAATCCATTTTATAGTGGGGTAGACTGAGTCATTAAATATGTAAAATGTATCTTATTAAGTTATACCAGTGAACCATTAACAATAGAATAGAATCAACAGACTTCAAATATCTTTTAAATATTATTAATGTGAACAGAGAGAATCTTGTAGGTTACGTAAAAATGAACTGGAAAGTTTTCAAAGGAGAGACTCTCCTTTTGGTTATAAACTTTTTTTCATTCTCCTCCCTTATTTTTCAACTTCTTCCAGGTAAAGAAGTTATTTGAGTCTATGTGTGTCCCTTATTTTTTGCTTGAACTTGATCAAACAGGTAAGCATCTGTTTAATATGTAAATTACACCTGATGACTGTACATTTTATTTAATCTGTTCTGTTTGGCTTTAATTTTTCTTCCTTGAGGTTTTTATTGGTTAGTGAGCTCTTACTAGCTGATTCCTCTTTTTGGCCATTTAGACAGGAAACTCCCCTGGGACTAATCATAGCCTTTACTAGTTATAGTCCTGGTATTCCTCAGTTTCCTGTTGTTGACATCATTCTTCTCAGTAATCTTTTCTTTTCTTTTTCCTTTTTTTTTTTTTTTTTTTTTTT